ACCTTCCCTTTATACTTATGATAACAGTGGTGCCACATGCAGGATTTAGGTGCCTACCTCTGGGGTTTAGCAAAAACAACGAGGAGTCCTTGTGGCACTTTAGAGACTAATAAATTTATTTGGACACAAGCTTTCATGGGCTAAAACCCACTTCATCAGATGCCACAAGGACTCCTTGTTTTTTTTGCTGATACAGACTAACATGGCTACCACTCTGAAATCTGGGGTTTAGGTGTCTGTTGCTTTGTGGATCCCACCTTTAGTCCCTGGTCCTGCAATTGACTCAATAAGGAAACAAGTATCCACCAATATAGAGTCAGTTCCCCTTCTGAAAAATAGTAATAATCCTTTCATATGTCTCTGTGTTGTTACAAGGGTAAAATCATTAATGTTTGTGAGGCTCTCATATATTGCAATGTTTGGGAGCAGAGAAAGCAGTATATAAATGCCTAGATAGAGAGGTACTAGGCAAGTATTTTTCCTATTTTTCTGCGGCTGCTCTGAACCTTCTGGATTTGGCTCATGGTCAATAACTATAAATTTGTGCTTATCCATTCTGACTACACAAAAATGTCTCACAAGATTATCTCTATGGCTTTTTCTGTTCATATAAATTTGTTAAAATTTTAGGTGTATTTGGGTAATTTTGTTTTTGTTTTTCATTTAATTTTGTTTTTTCATTTAAAATGTATCTGTCGGTAACTTTGGAGGTGGTAACTTATACGCAGAGAGATGAATATAGGGAGAGGAGTCCAAGAAATTGATGGCAAAATCATAGGTGCTGGAACTACGGGTGCTAGGGTTGCTGCCGCACCCTCTGGCTTGAAGTGGTTTTCTTTATATACAGGGTTTACAGCTTGCTTCAGTGGGTCTCAGCAGCCCCCCTATAAAAATTGTTCCAGCACCCCTTGGCAAAATCCACTTAAGCAGGAAAAAAATCCAGTTCCCTCCTCCTTGCCAAACATCCCCAGGACTGCACGGGAGCAAGAAAGTTGACTGGCATAAAACTGAGCCCCTCTTTTTATTATAGTTCATGTTTTATTTTTTGCTTGGTAAGTTTTTCAAGAAAAGGTGATAATTTCTGTGCTTGCAAAATGTACCACCTTCAAATGGTTAGTGGTAAATTTTGATAGGAATATAACAACTCTGGCATGCTTTTTACCAGATGCTATGAACAGCTGTCAAGTTTGTTGTGCCATCTCAATGCATTTACAAACAATTTTAATTCGGTGGACGTGAACCTTACAGCATCATGGTGTTGGGTTTTTGTTTCTTTGTTTTTCCTCTTCTGTTTGATGTCTGCATTGTCTGTGGAGTTTTATTTAAATCATAGTTTTCCCTTTTTTCCCCTCTGTGTCTGATGGTTGCTCTTGTTTTAGTCTTTTAAAAAAAAAATCGCATTTCTTGACACTGTTGCTTTAATCTCTATGGCGCTGTTCTTCAAAATGAACACCCTGCTCAAGTGTTCATTTATGAGACACTAGTAGTCAAAACCCTCTTTGTGTGCCCTGCTATAGCAACAAAAATAAACAGGAAATTAAATTTTATTTGTAAATATTTTTAAACTATAACTGCTGGTACAGTAGACACGAAGCTATTTGCAGAATTCTCTATTGGCCCACATTAATGGTCTCATATTGACATGCCAGAAAACTATCAAGAAAAAATTCATACAGGTAGCTGGTAATACTGATCGTTTATAATCGCACATAGTATATTCCACTAAGTTAGAACAATTAAGTTATTTACTCTGATAGTTAATGTTAATTATTTCTGCTTAGTTAGGATATTATTAGCACCTTCTGCTAAATGGAGACACATTTAGCTGGTGCCAAGTAATTAAATAGTGTTTAACCAGATGTTATTAAATGTTAAATTTTGAGGCCTAGTGGTTTTTTAAAAGAGAAACTGTGTTCCAGTGTATTTGTTTAGACTGAAATAATAAAAGACACCTATACAGGGCTCTAGACACCCTAACATATCATTAGTAATACAGCAAAATCCCAGCATCATTAAAATATAAATTCAAATAGGATCTCAGCCAAACAGCTACAGGAGGGGAGTGGGAAAGGGAATCCTTTCCAGGCCTTCATCTTTGATGGAAGCATACCCACAGCCCTCTCCAAAAGGCAGATGTCTTTTGCAGCATTCCCAGAAGGTCACCAAATTTGGGCTATTTTGGACCAAGTTGAGGGAACAAGTTCCGTGGTCCCAGAGGAGATATAAGTTTAAGTATTGTATTCAGTATAGTATTTTATGATTTCCAGAGCTTTCAGTTTTAAATGACCTCTTAAGGGTGATAAGAGTTGAACAGGTGGTCCACTAGGAAGTCCCAATTCTTTCTGTCTTTCTTTCTCAGTTTCAAGAATAGATCTGCTTCACTTTAAAGTACAGCAGTGGGTAAAGCTGGGCTCTGAGCAACTGCAGCATGTAAATCCTATCTCTGAAGGAGCTGTCCTTTCTGGGTGCTCCCAGAACACAACGCCAAGAACCTGGCTGCAGGTTAAGATGCTGAGGCAGGGAAGAAGAGTTGCTACATCCTGGAGCTGCTCTAAGATGCTAAGCCTCTCGAGGTAGTGGGGTTGGTGTGTAATTGAACCAGGGCAGTGGCTGAATATTCTGGGTCTCCCAGGTGAGTAGAGTAGGTGGTCTTGCCAGGGAGAGGCATGAGATGGTTGTGAAGATGGGCAAAGGGGCATAATATGGAAGGAAGGTACTAGAGTTGAGTCATGGGGCCCCCTCTTGGAAGTTGTGGTTGGAGATGCTCCGAGTTATCATGCTCCTGCCCTGCTTACTACAGAGTAGCAGTTAAGCAATGAAAACATAATGCTGAACAGTTTGAGCCACCTGAATAGTCATTCCAAACATTACCAGGTTTTAAGTAATATTTTGATGGCCTTTCCCACAGATAACTTACATGTGCTAATAGTACCAGTATAGCTAAAAAGCAATAGTTTAGATGGTCAGGGGGGTCACTATTTATGTCTCTATTAAAAGTTCCTATCAAACAGAAGTCAAAGTAGTGCAGAACACTTGTGTTTTAGTAAACCTTTCATAACACATCAGCCGACTATGGCACTAAAATCTATTCCTTTCCAATACCAAAGCAAGAAGCCTTTCATGCATAATGAATTGAAATATTAGTTTTTCTTTTGACTTTGACTTAAACTCCATAGAGTTTAACTAGGAAAACAGAAAAGTCATTACTTCAGCTCGTGTGCCTTTCTGGAAAGAAGTAATGATAATGCTGCAGGCGTGCTTTGAGCAATGATCCAGGCATTTACTCAGTTCATATATCCCTGTCATGAAGAGTCAGTTCTGTTCTTTTGAAGTCATATCCAGTGATGTGGGCTTCCTGTGAATCATTTAGTAAGTACAAAAGTCTTCTGTCTCCTTTAAAAAAAAATGTCTGTGGTGTTTGGTTTTTTTACAATGAAATCAAAGAGTGTTGAGATCATGTCATAAATGCAAACAAGTAACTTTGATTGTCATTATGCAGTTAGTACTTGGTAAATGCTGTAGGTAATTGAAGCAGAACATACAATGAATAAAACTGGAAAACTGGGCTAGATTCACAAAGGGACTTAAGTGCCTTATTGCCACTTTTAGCCCCTAAGTCCCAGATTTAGGAGCCACTGGTATTGACAGTACCCCTGATCAGCTGCCGCTGAACCCCATAGGCACCTAAACTTGCTTGGCATCTAAGTGTTTGCAGAAAAATATTCTGGGTGTTACTGCCTCAGAGCATGCACACTGCTTCCTCGCTTTAGCTGTCCAGATGCCTGCGCCCAATAGGGTTTCATGAGCCAGGTGAAGATAGGCGTTCCTTCACCTAACCCTCCTGCAGGGCCTGATGTGGTAGGCGTGTTCAGAGCATGCCCAGCTCCACACAGAATGGCTAGTAGAGGGGGGAAGGCAAAGCCCTTTCTCATAACTTTTAGCTTAGTGGTTACTGTATTCACCTGGAATATTGGACACCCCTAGTTCAAGTCACCCCTTATACCTGAGGAGGAACAAGGAATTTGAACAGGGATCTGCCAGCTCACAGGTGAGCGCGCTAACTACTGGACTATGAGATATTTTGAGTGACGCTACCTCAGTCTCTCCTGTTGAAGCTGTTCCATTTTGGATTAAATAATTAGAGAGTAGTTGGCTGAGAAAAAAACGTGCATGCATGAGAATGACCCAGGATGTGAGAGACCTAGGGATCCAGTCCCCCTGATATGGTGACTTGTTATGCAAAGTGGAACTGTGTCAAGAGGAGAGACAGAGGGAACTTCCTCCTCCAGTCTCTTGAAAGAAACTGTTAGGCGCTGACTCCAGGACAGGGTTTTCAGCTGAGAATCCCAAGCAAAAGAAGTTGCCTTCCCCGCAACTTGGACTTACGCACCGAACTCCCTTAACACACCACTCCCCCTGCTCCTCAGCATCTCTCATTAGCTGGCTTAGGCAAGGAGCCACCTAGCATGCTGGATTTTGTGAACCCTATTCATCTCTTCCATTCAGTGTAGGAAGCCTGAGCACCGAACTCAGGCTTTGTGAATCTCAGTGATGACCTCGATGCCTAAAAGTTAGGTGTTATGACACAAAACTAGTCCATTTTATTTATTCATTTAGCCCTAGTCTACACTACGAGTTTAGGTCGAGTTTAGCAGTGTTAGATCGATTTAACTCTGCACCCGTCCACACAATGAAGCCATTTTTGTCGACTCAATGGGCTCTTAAAATCGATTTTTGTACTCCTCCCCAACGAGGGGATTAGCACTGAAATCGACATCGCCAGGTTGAATTTGGGGTAGTGTGGACGCAATTCGACGGTATTGGCCTCCGGGAGCTATCCCAGGATGCTCCATTGTGACTGCTCTAGACAGCAGTCTCAACTTGGCTGCACTGGGCAGGTAGACAGGAAAAGCCCCGCAAACTTTTGAATTTCATTTTCTGTTTGGCCACCGCGGTAAGCTGATCAGCACAGGTGACCGTGCAGATCTCATCAGCAGAGGTGACCATGGAGTCCCAGAGTCGCAAAAGAGCTCCAGCATGGACCGAACAGGAGGTCCTGGATCTGATCGCTGTATGGGGAGATGAATCCGTTCTATCAGAACTCCGTTCCAAAAGACGAAATGCCAAAATATTTGAAAAGAATCTCCAAGGACATGAAGGACAGAGGCTGTAACAGGGACCCGCAGCAGTGCCGCTTGAAACTTAAGGAGCTTAGGCAAGCCTACCAAAAAACCCAAGAAGCAAACGCCCGCTCGGGGTCAGAGCCCCAGACATGCCGCTTCTGTGATGAGCTGCCTGCAATTCTACAACTACCCCACACCTGTACGTGGACTTCTGCAAGGGAATTTCACGCAACAGGGATGAAGATTTTGGGGATGAGGAAGATGATAGCGCACACCAGGCAAGCAGAGAAACCATTCTCCCTGACAGCTGGGAACTGTTTATCACCCTGGATCCAGTACCCTCCCAAGCCGGGCTCCTGGACCTTGAAGGTGGAGAAGGCACCTCTGGTGAGTGTACCTTTGTAAATATAATACAAGGTTTAAAAGCAAGCATGTTTAATGATTAATTTGCCATGAAGTCTTGGGATGCATTTGTGGCCAGTACAGCTACTGGAAAAGTCTGTTAACATGTCTGGGGATGGAGCGGAAATCCCCCAGGGACATCTCAGTGAAGCTCTCCTTGAGGTACTCCCAAAGCCTTTGCAAAAGGTTTCTGGGGAGGGCAGCCTTATGGCGTCCTCCATGGTAGGACACTTTACCACACCAGAGCAGTAGCACATAGTCTGGAATCATTGCATAAGAAAGCATGGCAACGTGTAGTCCTGGTGTTTTCTGGCATTCAAGCAACATCCATTCTTTATCTCTCTGTGTTATCCTCAGGAGAGTGATATCACTCATGGTCACCTGGTTGAAATAGGGGAATTTTATTCAGGGGACATCAGAGGTGGCCATTCCTGCTGGGCTGTTTGCCTGTGGCTGAAAAGAAATAATTCCTGCTGTTAGCCACGCGGTGGGGGGAGGGGTGAAGCGATCATCCCAGAATATTGGGTGTGTGGGGGGGTTTAGTTGGGTTTGTGCTGCACATTAACCCGAAAATATCAGCCCCTCCTTTTAAATGGCCGATGTGTCTTTTTCAATTTTACTCTCCCTTTTTTTCCTCCCATTGCTGCAACTGTTTCAACGCTGCCACTAGTATCTCCATCCCAGAGGCTAGTGCAGATAAGAAGGTGAAAAAAACGCACTCACGATGAAATGTTCTCTGAGCTCATGCAGTCCTGCCGCACTGCAAGAGTCCAGCAGAATGCGTGGAGGCAGAAAATACCAGAGTCCAGGAAAGCACAAAATGAACGTGAGGACAGATGGCTGGAGCAACAGGAGAGGTGGCGGCAGCGTGATGAAAGGAGGCAGGATGCAATGCTGAGGCTACTAAAGGATCAAACTGATATGCTCCAGCGTATGGTGGAGCTGCAGGAAAGGCACAGACTGCCACTGCAGCCCTGTGTAATCAACCGCCCTCCTCCCCAAGTTCCATAGTCTCCTCACCCAGATGCCCAAGAATGCGGGGGGCGGGAGAGTCTCTGGGCACCCAATCACTCCACCCCAGAGGACTGCCCAAGCAACAGAAGGCTGGCATTCAATAAGTTTTGAAGTGCAGTGTGGCCTTGTCCTTCCCTCCTCTCCCACCCCTCCCTGGGCTACCTTGGCAGTTATCCCCCTATTTGTGTGACAAATTAATAAAGAATGCATGAATTTGAAACAACAATGACTTTATTGCTTCTGCAAGTGGTGATAGAAAGGGGGAGGGCGTTTGGCTTACAGAGAAGTAGAGTGAACCAAGAGGGTGGGTTTTCATCAAGGAGGAACAAACAGAACTGTCACACTGTAGCCTGGTCAGCCATGAAACTGGTTTTCAAAGCTTCTCTGATGTTCAGCAAGCCCTGCTGTGCTCTTGTAACTGCCCTGGTGTCTGGCTGCACATAATCAGCGGCCAGGCGATTTGCCTCAACTTCCCACCCTGCCATAAACATCTCCCCCTTACTCTCACAGATATTGTGGAGCACACAACAAGCAGTAATAACAATGGGAATATTGGCTTCGCTGAGGTCTAAGCGAGTCAGTAAACTGCGCCAGCGCACCTTTAAACGCCCAAATGCACATTCTACCACCATTCTGCACTTGCTCAGCCTATAGTTGCACAGCTCCTGACTACTGTCCAGGGTGCCTGTGTATGGCCTGTGTATTAAAGGGTAGGCTGGGTCCCCAAGGATAACTATAGGCATTTCACCATCCCCAACAGTTATTTTCTGGTCTGGAAAGTAGGTCCCTTGCTGCAGCTGTTCATACAGACCAGAGTTCCTGAAGAAGCGAGCGTCATGTACCTTTCCTGGCCATCCCACGTTGATGTTGGTGAAACGTCCCTTGTGATCCACCAGTGCTTGCAGCACCATTGAAAAGTACCCCTTGCGGTTTATGTACTGGCTGCCTTGGTGGTCCGCTCCCAATTTAGTGATATGCATTCCGTCTATTGCCCCACCACAGTTAGGGAATCCCATTGCAGCAAAGCCATCCACTGTAACCTGCACATTTCCCAGAGTCACTACCCTTGATAGTAGCAGCTCAGTGATTACGTTGGCTGCTTGGATCACAGCAGCTCCCACGGTAGATTTGCCCACTCCAAATTGATTCCCGAATGACAGGTAGCTGTCTGGCGTTGCAAGCTTCCAGAGGTCTATCACCACTCGCTTGTGAACTGTGAGGGCTGCTCTCATCTTGGTATTCTTGCGCTTCAGGGCAGGGGAAAGCAAGTCACAAAGTTCCATGAAAATGCCCTTATACATGCGAAAGTTTTGCAGCCACTGGGAATCGTCCCAGACCTGCAACACTATGTGGTCCCACCAGTCTGTGCTTGTTTCCCGGGCCCAGAATCGGCATTCCATGGCATGAGCCTGCCCCATTCCCATTCCATGGCATGAGCCCGCCCATGAGCCCCATGGCATGAGCCCAGGATGTCCAAATTGCCAGGGCCTGTGCTTTGAGAGAAGTCTGTGTCTATGTCCTCATCACTCTCGTCACCATGCTGCCGTCACCTCCTCGCCTGCTTTTGCAGGTTCTGGTTCTGCATATACTGCATGATAATGCGTGAGGTGTTTACAATGCTCATAACTGCTGCTGTGATCCGAGCGGGCTCCATGCTTGCCGTGGTGTGGCATCTGCAGGAGAGCAGAGTTGCAGGGGAAGCGGTGGTTGGATGACCAGTTTTGCAGACCTACTGCACCGTCTGCTGCAAGGACACAACAGCTGAGTGGGCTGCACGCTTGCCGTGGTATGGAGAGACAAGAGCAGCCGAGCAGAGTTGCTGTGGAATAGGCGGATGATGACGGTCATATAGAGGACCTGTGAGACCACCAGGAGAGCAGAGTGGCAGCGGAAGCGGTCGTTCAATGATGACCGTTTGCAGACCTACTGCACCGTCTGCTGAAAGCCATATGGCGCCCGCCCATAAAAAAAGGCGTGAAACGATTGTCTGCTGTTGCTTTCACGGAGGGAGGGGCGACTGACAACATGTACCCAAAACCCACCCGTGACAATGTTTTTGCCCCATCAGGTGTTGGGAGGTCAACCCAGAATTCCAATGGGCAGCGGAGACTGTGGGAACTGTGGGATAGCTACCCACAGTGCAACGCTCCAAAAGTAGACGCTAGCTTCGCTACTGTGGGTGCACTCCGCCAACTTAATGCGGACACACACAATCGACTGTATAAAACCGCTTTCTAAAAAATCTACTTCTATAAATTCAACCTAATTTCGTAGTGTAGACATACCCTTAGAGTAGTCACCAGATGTGACTAACTTTTGATAATGTGAATTATCCTAAAAAATTAAAAAAGCAAAGTAAACTTTATTATAATTATATGGAAATGAAATTCACATTCAGATTCCCTACTTCCTTTTTCCACACCATCTCTCTCTCACAGAATCCCTGTTTTCTGATTGGAACTCCCTAACTACTCCTCCGTATTAACAGTTGGTTTCTTGCTTTCTTTATGAGCATTGAATCCAGAGTATGTCCATCAGTAATTAGGACACTGTATACTAAATAGTGGAACATTCTTCAGTTTCAGTATGGGTGAGGATGAATCAGCTTTGTACAGAAATAGAAGAGACCTCCCACTTTGGATTAACTACTCCACCTCACTCCAGGTAGAACAAATGTCTCTAGTTCCATCATAAATTTTTTTAACAAACCAGAGTGAACCCATTTCTCATAGTCATTGTTATCAGTTGCCATCACCATCATCTGTATCAGGGGTTCTCAAACTGGGGGTTGGGACCCCTCAGGGGGTTGCAAGGTTCTTACATGGGGGGTTGGAAGCTGTCAGCCTCCATCCCAAACCCTGCTTTGCCTCCAGCATTTATAATGGTGTTAAATATATTAAAAAAGCATTTTTAATTGGTTGGGGGGGTTGCACTCAGAGGCTTGCTATGTGAAAGTGGTCACCAGTAAAAAAAAGTTTGAGAATCAGTGATTTATGTCAATGCCAAAGCTCTGTGCCCAGTTGATTATGCATATTAGATAGCTAAGAGGATTTTCCTGTTTCCTCTATAAGCACTAAGGGCAAGATTCAGACTTAGAAAGGGCAAAATATAATTTTTCTGCAACTTCTTGTCTAATGCAAATTTTTCTGATAAATTTTAGTTCTCATGAATAAGGCACTAACTAGTGAAGGGTTTTTAATGCAGAAATGAAAAACATATCTGTATACTTTTGATTCCTTTTTAAAGGAAGATCACTGCTAAATGCATGTCTTATCTATCCACAAATGTGCTGGCCAAGCTTGCTTTTCATATTCTGAAGACTTCCACTCTCTCATCGCCTTTAATTAGTCTCATAAGTATGCTAATTGTTCATATTTCGGGAGTCATACAAATTGAGAGAGGACCAAAGCCTTTAATAAATCACTGTTTTAGTCCTCTTGATTTTTTTGCTTTAAAAAACCCTAATAAGACTGTACATATTTAAAATAAATCTGTGCATACATACACTTACAAATGTCTACGATGGCTGCCATGAAAAAGTCAGCATTCAACAATAATTATCACTCCACGGCATAGTTATTTCCAGTTATAGGCAGAGCTGCCAATGGTGCTTATAGTTAGGGTTGCCTAATACTTTCCATTTTAAGACTCTGTTTTCAGTTTCTCCTAACTTCTCAATTTTAACTGATTGGGCTGAAATTTTTCATGCCAAATGATTGCCTTAGGTTGATTTTTTTTTTAAAAGTAAAACGTTTTGCCATTTCTAAGCAAAAGGTTAGGGAAAAACATTGTTTTGCTAATGTAAAAAATTGTGACAATCATTTTGTTGAGAAGCATCTTTGTGCTTTGGAGCAGGGAGTTGAAATTTGGAATGGGAGGAGTTTGTTTTGCTGTCCCTGTGAAAACAGACCCAAATTTTGTCTCTGAAGCTGTAAGACTGAAAATCACACTTTGCGTTTGCTCAATCCAGG